AATTGTTTTGAACATCGAGATTGAATAAAGTAGAGCCGACATAAACACTATTTTGAGATGACAGATGCACAAACTTTGAGTGACGGAAAAGCACATACTTTGATTTTCTTTTACTATACGGAGAATGGTCGCACTGCGCAGCTTTCTGAGTGCCTTTTAAAAGGAGATAGAAAACTCCGCCATTTTGATCCCTTATGCGCTAGTTCATGGTGCGTTTGATTTGATCATCGGAGATCTCCGAGCGCTTCAAAAGTGTTTGAATTGACACTCCGAGAGATCCCTAAAGTGTTTGTTTCGCTTTGGAGCGAGAACATAGAGCGAGCTCGATGTTCTCAGAGCAGAAAGATCGAGAAGAGGGAGAAATTTGTCTTTGTCTCTACCTATCTCTTTTTAATTAACTTACAAACAAATTTGAATCTCAAAATTAAAGACCAGACAAGAAGTCAACAAATTACTTAGCCGCTTTTGTCTTATAGCTAAAATTATTCATCATAAAAAAACACAAAATGTGTGTTTGGAAAATACATTTTTTCTGTCCAGATCCAATCACCAGTAATCACAGTCATGGAGTATGAGAGCGAAGCGGGCATTTGTGGTAAATGCTGCATTTCAGGGCCATTGCCCCTTATTATTAAAAGTTTTTCCATTTTCTTTACTTTTTGCTCACTATTTTAACATACAAACCAGAAACAAGAATCACAGAAAAGCGAGGTTATGTTTTTTACTATGTTTTATTTGATTTGATTCAATGCTCTATTGTGACGTCATCACTTCTCGGTCTCCTCGACGCTCGCTCGATCGAGTTTCAAATCAAACGCCCCTTCAGTGATGATGAAATTATGGTTCCACTGACAATTAAAGTGACAGTCAATTTTTTGAGTGCGTTTTGTTTACCTAAATTATATCATTTTTTTCACTTTTATAAATATATTCCTAAAGTAAGTAGATAGCATGTATCAAGTATACAATCGTTTAGTTACCAATTACATACCTTTAAACTATCTTTTATGACCTGTAAACAATATTTTGAAATAAAATAAAAACAGTAAAAGCGTATAAGTCAAATTTATTGATGTTTTTGTTAAAAGTTTGGTTAGAATTAAATGTTAGTGGAACCAAAATGACATCACACTGAACTAGCGCATTACGTGTTGCCTACATCTTGGCGCAATATTTTTAATAGGTGCGTTTTAATCATCCGCTTCTGCTTCGGAATTGTCGGTTTTCTTGTTTTAATCTGACAGGTTTATTGCTAAAGAATCAGTTAGCTCACTCGGACCAGTTGAAAGTTCCAAAATAACATCCACTCCAGGGATACAAATTCAGGATACGAAGAAGACTGCTGTTTTATTATAGGCGGTTGTCATATATTGTATTATCCGAGTTGCGCAGTGTATAAACTGGAACATTGAGATCAGAAGTGCTAACGCAGAGTGAGCGATCTGATTCTTTAGCTATAAACTGTGGCATAGGAATCAAAATGGCCGCGCTCTATGTTGGGCGTGTCGGACCTCTCTCTTGCACCGTATAGTACAAAAAATCAAAGTATGTGCGGAAAAGTGTAACGAAAATAGTGACTTGAGTGGTACTTTGATTTTTTTGATAATTTTTATATTTAAAAACTGACTGAATGAAAATGATTTTATATTATTTAAATGAAGCTATTTAAAATGACATTTATTTTCGCCAAAACTGGCTTAAAGGTGCTAACACTTTAGCATCGTCATAGTATCTCATCAATGGTTTTAAAAAAGAAAGAGATAATTACTGTCAGTGATTAAAAATAATTCGTATAAATAAATAAAAATTGTATTTATTAAAAGCAAATTTGAATCTAAACATTCTTCAGTTTTTTATTGATCTCTTTAACTATGTTAATTAAATTAATAACTTACTTAGAAACAACAGTTACAAAAAGTGACAAACAAATGTAAAATGTCTCTTTTTGTATGGAGACGGGCATTTGGGAAAATATGGAGATTAAAACCAAAAATAGTCCACTGGCTATATTCGGCAATAACAAGATCCATGATAAATTATGAATCGGTTGTTTGGTGGCAAAAAGTAAACCAGAAAAGCTATAAAGTCGCCACTACCTGCTGCTCTTAAACATCCACAATTAAGGACAGGCACAATCTTTAATTTGACTGTGATTCGACTCTGTGAGTTTGTGGTTAATTATTATTAATGTTTTACAGTTTGTACTATTTTTATCTCTGAGAAAGGCGGAAGTTTTCCAGTGAATACTACAAAGCTAAAATAATGTCTAGCAGGGCAAACTTAGATTGGATTTTCATATTGATCTGCCTTTCATTTTGAATAAGCGATAAATATAATTTTCAGGTTCAGCTGAGAGGACAAATATGGCCAAATCATGAAAAAAACTGAACTGCTATCAAACCAGGCATGGGTGAAAAGGGCAAAGTAGAGGAAAGACGGGATGAATTTAACAAAAAAGTTTTAATAATTTTATCATTCATAGGTTATTTGCTTCCAAATAAATTTTTTTGAAATTATTCATTATTTTCACTAATTTCCTCAAACATCCTGTTATTCCCCGTTTGAGCTTTTAAAAGTATCCATGGAATGTTCTTAAATGGAGGTTCTTAAGACATCCTGATTATTAACAATGGACGTTCCAAAGACGTCCATAAGACGTCCACGTCCGTAAAATGGACGTTGTAAGGATGTCCTGAATGTCCAAGCAGGACATTTTTAGAACCTCCATAAAACGTATTTGTGCTATCTGGAGTGACATCACAGTCTCACGGGGAAATGATACCATTGTATTTCAGCCTGAAATACATGTAATCAAATTGTGTGTATTAGATAATTTAAAAAGCAAATACAAAAACCAAATCATATTAATTCTCTCAGCAGCCTTAAAGGACCTTGGTTCATACAGAATCAAGTCAAAGCTGGTCTGGAACTGTCTTGTGATACTTAATGATCAGGCAATCAACAATAAGCTAAAACTATGGAGTCGTATCAGTTATACAAATTGACAACTTGAACTCAATATCCGAGTGATCAAAACATCCGAGTGATCAAAACATCCGAGTACCAATCCAAGTGTGGTTAATTCGAT